TCTAAGGCACCAAAGTGGTGTAAGGGAGCCCTTGTGGAAACCAGAATCAGGCTCCCTGTGTTCCCCAGAGATTGGCTGAGTCATTCTCAGAGCTCAACAGCTGATGTAAAAAGGGCCAACATGCTGAGCGGGTCACTGGCCGTGGTTGCATCTGCGTCAGTGACTGCTTCTGACAGCAAAGTGCAGAGAAGGATGATTACTTCTCAGAGCTCAAGGACGTCGCCAAAAGATCATGTGGGATAAAATAAATAAATAAATAAGCACACATAAAAACCCTTCCCCCCGCCTGCATCCCTTTTAATCTTGGAGATATGTATTCATGTATTAAACATTTTGTGAGGCGATTATGTAAGCGAAATCTCTGCAAATCTTTAAAAAAAATTAAACTGATTACTGCCCAACTCTCCCTCTGGATAACCTTTGGCAGATTTAGCAGATAACCAAGAGCAAATGAAGACCAAATAAATTGCTTCAAGTTTGGTTGCCATGGACGTCTGTGTCCTATCAGTTTACAGCAATCTATTTCCTGGGGTGGTTGGAGGCACCGTTGACAGCTGCACGAAGGAGCCGTAGCCTCAGACAAAGCCATGCACACACACACACACACACACACACACATATATGTATATATTTAGAAACATCTGCTGCAATTTAAGATATTAGTAACATGCCTGAGCAGCTTGAAGCAGACGAACAAGGGTAATGGCAGATTACTTGCCCCCAGGGGCACTGGCTTAGAAACAAACTGATTGTCACAATAACTATGATGAACACCTCCTTCTAACCTGCCCAGAGGAGCCAAGCTGGGTTATCCCCTGCTGTGTCTGGCTATGGTGCTCATCACATAGAGCACACAGTGTGAGGAGCCCACTGGGGCCTGTCCAGGTGTTTCCACCATCCAATGTAGATGTTATCTTTGTCGCTCCCCAAGTATGGGTAATTGCCTAGAGCAGGGGTGGCCAACCTGAGCCTGCAAAAGAGCCAGAATTTACCAATGTACATTGCCAAAGTGCCACAGTAATACGTCAGCAGCCCCCACATCAGTTCCCCCTCCCCGGCACCCAGCACCTCCCACCCACCGGCAACCCCACCAATCAGTGCCTCCCCTCCCTCCCCGCACCTCCCGCTCAGCTGTTTTGTGGCGTGCAGGAGGTTTTGGGAGGGAAGGGGAAGGAGTGAGGGCACGGCAGGCTCAGGGGAAGGGCCCTGTGGCAGAGCTAGGGGTTGAGCAGTGAGCACCCCCAGCACATTGGAAAGTTGGCGCCTGTAGCTCCAGCCCCAGAGTTGGTGCCTCTACAGGGAGCCGCATTTTAACTTCTGAAGAGCCGCATGTGGCTCCGGAGCCACAAGTTGGCCACTCCTGGCCCAGAGCTAGCTTCTGACTTTGTATCTGCATAAGGGACGATGGGTGACTTGGAACCATCCACCTCTAGACTTAGGTCTGGGTGTGTAGGAATAAGCAGGGCTATTCGCCAGTTTCCTACCTGCTCCAGGAAGGGAGTGGCCTTGGCTCCACTTCTCTCTTCTCACTGGCCAGAGTCACTGAGCCAGCCCAGGGGGAAGGGCAGAGATAGCAATTTACTGCTGGATTAGGAAGAAAAATGTACGGGTGTTCAGGCTCAGCCAGGATACGAACTGAGGGAAAAAAGACGTTTAGTCCAAGTTTCCCAGAGCCACCTCCATCAAAACAATGACAGATGCTGCAATCCAGAAATAAAATACTTTGGCAAGGCCGCCTCCTTGGCAATCCAAAACCAAGCCAACTCTCCCCTGCTGCTTCAGTAATGGCAAAGAGGGAAACATTTCTGGCAGATGAACATCTGCACAAACTCCTGCTGAATTCCTTTGTCAATTCCACTAAGCTGTGGGTGTTTTCCCTGGGTTCAGTCCCTAGGCAGTCCCAGCAGCCAGCCAAGAGCTTCCCTTGCTCCCCTGGTTCCGCCCAGTACTGAGCTGTCCATGGTCCTGCTGCTCTTTCACCCAGCCAGGAACACAGTCTTCTCTCCTCCAGCGGCAGGCAGCAACTGAGTGTCTCTAACCCTGCAGCTCCTTTTATGTGATTCTGCTGGACCCTGATTGGCTGCTTCCTCACAACTACTCCAGGCCACTTGGAGGGCTTCTCTTCTGCTCCTCTCTAGGACAGGGTGTGGCAGAACTCTGATGCTTCCAGCAGGGGTTCTCTGGGCCTAATCTACTCCATCACAAATCCCAAAATCAATCTATGGTTAATTAATGAAATGACAGTTTTAAACACTAACTCACTTTACAAAATAAAGGCCTGGTCCAATCAGTGGAAAGACTCTCCTTGACCTCCATGGGCTTGCAGTCAGGCTCTTTGAGCAGCATGGCACTGGTAAAATTATATGATGTTTATCTGTCTGGGATTTTGTGGCTTAGCCTTTTTTTGTAGCCTTGAATCCAAGGGTAACGACTGAATAAAGCCAAAGGATCCAGATGACTAACTTCCCAGACGTTACTGTCAGATCATTTCCCACATTTTGGATGGGCCTTTCCACCCAAAGAGAAGGCAGGGATCCTTATCTGAGATACGAATTGTCCTCTTCAGCGACGGATGTATGCTCAAAACCATTTGAAATGTCTTCTCATTTGAGCAGAGGTTGTCATCCTTCCCCTTGCATCATAATGCAGCATTTTCTCTCTCATGAGGACTGAGATAAAGTAGAGACAGGCCCAAGCAGAAAACCCAGTTGCAAACACCTCTAACTAGAAAGCTTGGATCAGGTTTTGAACATCATGGCTCAGGTTCATGCCTGGTGCTTCCCTCAGAGAAGTTCTCAGCTTTGTATTAGCTGCTGGCTGAGCTGTCAGACTTGTATCAACTCCCTACCACTCATCTCCCGTTCCTAGTGTTTCCAAGATGAAGGCTTAGTCTTAAGCATCTATCATCTTCTCACCTTCCAACCTCACTTAGGATCAAATCTTGCCTCCATAAAAGTCAATTGGTGGGTCAGGATTTCACCCTAGGACAAAGACCCACTGATGTCCATAGTGCAGGATCAGGCCTTTGTTACACTTTAACTATAGACTTTCTGTTTACAGCCCAGGTGCACAGGAATTCCTTGGGAACAACACAGTCAAGCTTTCTTCCTTGGCCTAAGCACCTTGGCTCGATGCTGAGATTAACCAAGATGTGCAGCTCTGGCTGGGAAACAGCAAACCAAAACTAGGGCTCAGAATACACTGGCCTGCTTCGTTTCTCAAAACCAACATTGATACAGAATGCCTATTTGTACAGATTTCATTTATTAAGATCCAATAAGAGATTATAGTATCAGCAACTAAGCAGATATGCAGTCATCCCAGCTTTTGGCTCCTGGCCGGGTGGCAAAGTACTATTTTTTTTTGCTTCTCTACAAAAAAGAGAGTGCAGCATAGCTGTCACACTCATTAAAGTGCAACCAGACAGGCTTCAGCCATCGCTGAAGGGTATTAAAGATGTGTCCCGATGGCTTATTGCCAGCGTTCAGGTGAACATCCCATTCAAAGCAACAGTCCAAAGCTCTTATGTAGCCAGCTGAGTCTCCTGTTTGTGCTAAGCACGTGCAATTGAGATAGTCCAATTTACTTGTGCTGTCCTGTCCACCTGGCCGCCTTATGTATAAATGACATTTTATGTACGTCTCCTGGCTCCCTACGCAACTCCAACACTTTTCCAGGACACTCAGTAGCGCTGTTTCCCTCTTGGTCTGATGAGATTTGGGACTTGAGAAGCTTTCAGAAGTGATCATGAGGGGCAAAACAAGTAGTCTTACAGCTTATCAACAAATGGCTGAGACCCAGAGGAGAAAATTAAAATCTCAGAGGACAGGAAAATATAGACGAGAAATATGAACTATTCTGAAGGGCTCTGTCCTTGGCCCACTCCTCTTTGCCCTCTGCATCCTCTCTCTAGGTGACTGTAGCCACCCCCATGGCTTAAGCTACCATCTTTAAGCCAATCATTCACAAACCAACCTGTCCACTGACACCTCATTTTGGATGTCTCACCATCAGCTTCAATCTAACTAGGCCAACTCCTAACCATCCCTCCCACCACACCCACAGAAAGCAAGATCTTCAGGGGAAGCAACTGGCAGAGGGGATCTGGGAAGAAGCTAACCTCCCCCTCTGGAAACAGAAGTTTCCTCCTGGAGGAGGTAGCTGACTGCTTCTCAGACCCTCCCACAGCAGTTGGACTGTGGACACCTACATCAGTTCAGCACATGCATTTAGAAGATAAAGGGCAAATCCTGCTGTCCTCTTCCTGGGCTCAGAGGGCCTATGATGTAACAGAACCAGAGCTGTTCCACAGCCCAGACAGGGAAGGATTTGAGGAATCAATTTAGGCATCAGTACACCATGCAACACAGATCTGGAGGGGATTCCTATGCTCCATCCTAAAGGGGGAGGACGTAGAAGTGAGGTTGCTACCACACAGTTCCACAGCCTGCTCCCCCCGGGAAGGGGCCAAGACCAGGTAGTGGCCATGAAAGCTACTGCAGCGATAGTAGTGACTCCTGAGGAAGAGCCCAATGGCCCAAGGGGTGGAGCAGCACTTCCTCCACAAACCTAGTACACAGCCCATTTCCCTGGGGCTGGGGGCAGGATTCGGACCTGAGAGAAGGTGGCTTTGCTTTCCGTTCAGTTACGGCTTTTAGAAAAGCAGTTTTAGGGTTAATGTGACTGTGGCCATTTTCCTTAGGATTTTCGATTTTATTTTTGTATAGTGTAAAGCTGTTCGTTCCTGCACCAAGTTTTAATTGGAAGAAGAAAAAAAAAGCCCCTCACTATGCAGGCAGCACCGCTGAGTGACTAACCAAGGCCCTTTTAGAGCTGTAGTACAAGTACAGCTACAAAGAACCCAATGACCCTGACCACTTTCCTATTTATTTTATATATCACACACACACACACACACACACACAAATATCATAGATGTATATAGAGTATAAACAAATTCCCCTGCCCCCTACCCCTGGTGGAATACAATGAAACTTCACCTGGCATCATCATCTCGAGCTATTAGAAGGCGCATGTGGCTGGTGGCGGAGGCTGTCCTGAGAATATCCACAGCCCTGTGGGAAGACAAGAATGACTATCAGGTGCAAAAAAAGGACAAGAGAGCAATACTGGGCCACAGTTATGTGGCAGAGGGCTCACACATCAGCACGTCAAACTCAGCAGTGAGCCATGTATTGGGCAAACTTTAATGACGGCTTTTTGGCAAGGGCCATTGGCAGACAGAACATCTCCCAGGCTCCCGATCACCTTGTCTGCCAGCAGAACTGGAAGGAAGGTAAATCACAGCCTGAGTTTCCTCACTGCTGCACTAGCTGGGGACCCTCAAATAATAAGGCCAACCTATTAGCAAGTATCTCCTCACTACCGTCTACATTGCAAGCCTTCCTTCCCTTACGCCCGGCCAGATTCAGAGCACTACAAATACAGAGCCCTAGCACAGTCATGAATCAAACCCCCAGATCATGTGTCTGCTCTCTACTGTTTAGACATATGTAAGCGGGGGGAATGGTCCCGCTATTGTGGGGAACTTTCCTGGCTTCT